TTTTAATAAAAACACTAAAAAGCAAAAAACAAGAAAAACTTTAAATGAAAAAAAAGACGTCTGTTTATTCTTCATCTTCAGAGTCAATACTTTCATGAAATGTATCGAAACTCTTGATTGAAAAGCAAAGAATTGTAAAACTACGTATTGGATGAGAGATTTTTTAATACTTTTACGTCTCTGTACTTCGCCACAGAGATAAAAAAATAACTCTGTAGATACAGGATGTCATCTTTTAAAAGATTGTTCCTAATATTTCTCAAACTTGTTTTTAAATTTAATTCATTTTATGAATGATGAAATAAATTTCCACTTTAGTCTTCTCTGAAAAATATAATTAAGTTTTATAAAAAGGTTTAGTTGTCTTGTTTTTATTTTGAGAATAGTGGGATTCAAAACCTTTGAATAAAGAAAGGTGATCACATCTTTTAGATTTTAGTTCAAGAATAAAACTTTTTAATAGTCTTACTATTAAATAGTTGCTATTAAATAATGTTTAGCGTTTTGTAAAGTTATTAAACCAGCAAGATATGTAACTTGGGCTCCCTTGCTGGCTGGAGTGTTAAAATAACATATTAAAATTTTCTTTTAACAATTTCGAAGCATTTTAATCTCTTACAGTTTTATTCATATTTTATGCTTCTGCGCATCTTTCTTTACTTTTTTTTTTTTTCGTAGATATTTTTTTTCATATGTTCTAATTGTTTAAATTCATGTTCCTCCATTTTTAGCAATAAATTTCCTTTAAGCGAATTATGAAAAACATGGACATTCGCGTAGGTAACGTTTCGTATAATGAAGAAGAGAGGACTTGCTGCATCTAACTTTAAATACACATAAAACCGAGCTAGCTCCAAGCATTTGTATGTTTATACTTATTTCAAATAACGAGACTGCGTGAAAAATTGCGATGATTGATTGCTGGGAACACAAAAGCTCTTCGACTTCATACCCCTCCCCACCCTAAACCTGAGGCACAACAAGTTGATAGAATGTTCTTTGTACTATTCTCAACTAGATTTATATTCATCGTTAATTTTTAAGTTTCATAGTATTATCTCTTAGCGTTCAAAAAATAATGACCAAAATTTTTAACCCCCTCAAATTGAAGGGGTTTAAACTTTACATAGTCATATTATTTGAGCGCTGAGAGTTAATATATGAAACTTAAAACTTGTAGATGTTTAATTAAGAATAGTACAAAATATATTTTATCAGTTTGTTGCCCCTCACGTTTAAGGTGTTGAGTGGGGTGGGGTATGAATTCAAAGAGCTTTAAGCTTTTCAACCTCCAATCATCGCAACTTTTTGCACAGTCTCATTATTTGACATAAGTATAAACATACAAAGCTTTAGAGTTTCTCAAACACCAAAATATCCTGGATTCATCACTGAAGATGAAAATGCAATTAAATAAGATTTGCAAGAGAAGGTATTGTTAAATATAAAGAATAAAAAATCAAGAATAAGGAATGCGGATATTCCTAGAGGACCATCAGGTCTTGTCATAAAGAACTCGTGTTGGAGAAATCAGAACTTTTTCAACAAAAGTTTTTCAATTAATTTTTCTTGTTATGTTGTCTACGGTTTGCACCAATCAAACTACGTCATTAGTTAAAAAATAAAATAAAAATGAGAAAAATAATTTTAAATTAAATATCATGCCTTGCGCCCAACTCAATCTCATTTGTCGGATATAATTACGAAAATCTTATTTGTCGAATATAAACATTAAAATGTTATTTGTCAAACATATAAAAAATTTATTTGTGCTGGTTTACGAATACACATCCATATTATCTAAAGGTTGTGCGGAAGAAAGAAAAAAAAAAAAGAAATTCAAGAGAGCCGTACAAAGGTGCTGTTTTGTGTGAAACCAGATTACTAAACATTACGTTTTATGTTCACCAAACTTTTATGCGTTTGTACAGCTGTACAGACGCATAATGGCTTGGTAAACGTAAAGCGTACGTATGCTACTTTTGGAGGTAAACCAATGGAGGTAAACCAATGGAGGTAAACCAATGAAAATACTTATTACAGCTGTAAACGACGTGGTTGTAAACAACCGTGCTGGTTTAATGTTTTTGTCGACAGCTGTCGACAAAAAAATTAAACCACTGCTAAGAGATGGTTTACCTTCAGTTTTTAGAATAGTTTAAAAAACGAATAAAAGTTTTTAGAGCATGCATGCAGAGACAAAGAAAGTAAAAGGATACGAGTCAAAGTGAGAATGAATGGTTGATGGAACTAGAGATAATCCTCTTGAATCATGCTAATATGAGCTTGTGTCTTTATTTATACATAACTGTACGGGTATTTTTACAAAGAACAGCTAGTTGTAAACGAACAATATTGTATGCAATTGCTCCGTTTCATGTCATTAAATTATACGTCTTTTTTATATTTGCTTTTTTATTACTATTGTTATACTTTTTTTAGTCCAAGAGTTCAAATTATAAATTAAAATAAAAATAAGACATGCGCTATGTACAGTGATCTTTTGTATACTTACTATATTTATATACGATACAATAAATTTATGCTATATATACTTTACATTTTTTCTTCTTAATATTCCATGGATTTGCAAATTACTAAATAGTGAAACAACTTGAATTACCGTAAAATGGGGGGAATAGGGACAAAACACTTTTTTATGGTTTTTTTGTGTGTATCTCAGTTTTATCAAACTTCTTATGCAAAAATTTGGTAAAGTTTTACAATTACACCTTCAGTGCTTTTGTCATGGCCGAAATAATTTTTTCAAAACTATTTTTTTTAAATAATGTACTGCAGGCCTGAGTCATACTTGATAATAAAAAAAGATTCACTTCTCTATCTGCTTTTCCTGTCAATTTACAGACATCCAAAAAAGTTTTGTTTTTTGTTTCTGATTTTGTCACTATTGAATTCATTGTCGCTATTGACCCTGTTTTTTGATAATATAGTTTTTTATCTCCTTGTTTGTAGTAAAAATTAAATTCGAGTTTCATCGTCACAACAATTTTTTCATAGAGCGCCCCTCATGCGGGCTATGCGGCAATTTAAACAAAAATTAAAATAGTCAAAATACTATGAACAATTCCAAGATATTAAAAAAAAAAAAAATCTTCATAAATATTTCTGCCACGGTGTACTATTCGATATTCAGAATACTTGCTACTAATTCTTGGCAATTTAAGAGTATTCCATTGGATTATTCTAAGAGAATACTTTTTGTTTACATTTTTGGTAAAATTATCATTTAAGTTTTTTGGAATCAAGCTGTTATTATATTGATACATAAAAAGTGTTGATAAATATTGATTTCATTTATATTCATCAATTGCATTTCTTTTAATAATGGTTTTACAAGTTCATATTTTTTTCTTATATATAATTATGCATGCATGCTTTTGTAAAGAAAATATTTTTTTTAAGTTTTGTTGGTTATGCCCTAGCCGTAATATGTAATAGTAAATGAAACAATGTATTATAAATTAGTTTCAGACTTTCTGATGTTACAAATGAACGAATACAAATGAAAAAACATCATACCAGATGTTTTACTAACATTTGATTGAATATAATTTATGTGTATTAGTTAATCATTTAAAATCAAATCAGGTAATTTTAAAGGAAGGTATTTTTTTTGAGATTTTTTTAGAATAAAGTATATTTTGTTTTATCTACCTTGAGGGAGACTTTGATTTTTTTAAACCATTCATTGACATTCTTTAGTTCAAAATTCATGTTAGAATAAAGTTGCTTAATGTTGAAAGGCAAGTGGAGAAGCGCAATCGTTAATATTTAAAATTATCTAGAATTTTCTTTAAAAAAAAAACAAAAACGTCCTTTAGAAAAAAAGTGGTGGGGGAAGGGGGGGGGCACTTCTGTTCATTAGTCTGTTGAATCAGCAAAGTTTAACTCGATAAGTTCGCTGACGACATAAATCATATTACAAGAGTTTCAAGACTTATTTCAATATGCCAAACTATGTCAACTTCCAATAATAGAGATTCAAACTTTGGATTAAGCAAATTATGTACAAGCTGAATATAAAACTGATATTTAGCTTGAAGTTATTTTGAAAAAATTCCCGGAGTTTTTTTCTTAATTTTGAAGATTTTCAGAAATATTTTCCTGAATTTTACATGATTTCACTACTTTTCTAAATTTTCAAACCTAAATGATATGAACTATGTGTAGGACCTAAAAAAATTGTAAAACTAGTACCTTTAAATAATAACAAAGAAATGCTTCTCAAACTATTCTGAAAAAGAAATTTAATAAATAATGTATAACCAGACTTAAAAAACTGATTAATCATTAATTTAAGCTTTAACACAACTTCAAGATAAACCTTAAATAAAAATATTTGTTAAGATCAGCTACCAAAATTAAACCTTTTACATGGATAGGTTTGTGACCAATCCATGTCTGTGATCATGTCAGACCAGATAGACCATGTCTATCTAGTCTGTGATCCTAATGATTATGCGTATTACTTAGAATCTATTGCGCCATGACAACAGTAGGCCCACATTGCTTAGAATCTATCGCAAAATGACCACTGAAGTGAAAGAAGACGTATTATATTTTGTTATCGATCAAATAGAGATTGTAATAGAATTGATCGCAGAAACTCTTAAATCCTTTAAGAGAAAACCTTGACAATATAGACAAGGGCTATTGACATGGGTTACTATGACAACAAAAATGTAGTAGAAAAAATTTAAATCACGTGCTACTTGCTATTTTGTTGTTGTTGTTGTGATAATAGTAATAAGACAAATTTAGTAGAAATCTAATTCTCAACTCCATTTTGAATATTTTTCCGGAGAAAAACAACGAGTAACTTAAAATAGATCAAAAATTAAGAAATAAAAAAAGAGGCCTCACTTCACTTAATTATAAGTAATTCATTAAGTAAACAAAAAAAGAACACGTAGTAAATAAGAGTTAAATAAGACAAAATAGCAAAATAAAACTGAATAACAAGATTAAAGACAATTAAGTAAACAAAGCATATAAATGAGAATTCACTTAGTTAAATAATTAAATTTAAAAAATATTGTTCTCTACAAATCAGGGGAGATTTTTTGAAGGAGATCATTATTAGAATATTTACCAAAAAGCGTGAGAAGCAATGCCACGCCGTAACCAGATCCTCGTTCATTCTAAAACAAAAAAATCAACAAATTTATACGTAAAAAAATTGTTTTACGTAAAAGTGTATAGAATGATCACCACAACGGTGTTAAAAGCTCATTCTTTTTTATTTAAAATTAAAACAACTTTATAGGAGTACCACACCGGAAAATTAGATAAAAATGCATACTATTTAACTGTAATATAACATGTTTGTAAAAAATACAAATCGAATCGTTACCTGTAATTCGACTGGCGCTGCCATATCAATATGTACCCATACACCAGAAAAATCAAACCCAATATGAGCACCTAATAATAATAAAAAAAATAGAAAGCAACATCAAAAGCCAAAAAACATTAATTGTTTTTGCTGATTGATACAAACTAAATACATTCCCACCTATAAAAAGACCGGCACAAGATACTTGAGCATTAGAACGAGACTAAAATATAACATCAAAAAATACTACTACAAACAAGTAATGACATTTTAAATTGATACTAAAAACAAAATATCTAACCTTAACAGAATTTTTCATGTCTGCTACATGGCTGTTAAACTCTTCAAAGTGTAATTCGGGGCAATATGGAACCGGAAACTAACGAGCAAAAAAAAACAATTTATATAAAAAATCCAATTCAAATTATAAAAATGAATATTCGATGCATTTAGTTAAAATTAAACTTTTAATATGATATTCTTAAAAAATTAAAGATTTATTTAAATGTTTCAACATGAAAAATGGAATAAGATACCACAAGATCCCCGCTCATTTTTCCAGCTTTAACACAGCGATTTTCCCATTCTTCATTATTTGACAGAATAGCTGCATGATATTTACCAGTTGCAATACCCTGTGCACCTGTTAATGTAGCCATGTCAATAATAATTTCTGCTTTTAAATCTTTTTTAGCATAAGCAACCTGAAAGCAAATTTTTGTTCTTATTGGCGTGCTTCTGAAATAAAAAAAACCCATCAAAAGAAAACTACCATACTCCATCACCCAAAACCAATCTTCCTTCTGCGTCCGTATTATTTATTTCAACAGTTCTAAAAAATTAAATAATAATGACTTATATTCAAACAATGCCTTTAATTTAAATGTATTTGAATATAGTATTTAAGAAATTTATTTATGCATATTTAATATTGCTCACAAGCCTGAATATAGGGTATGAACATCATCTGGTCTTGTAGCAAGAGGACCAACAGCATTTTCTGCCAAACAAAAAACAGCATGCAAATTTTCTTTGAAACCCTTTGGACACAAATGGAAAAGTCAACAAATTTATAAGCGACAAAACCTGTTAATAAACGATAGAATTTACCATTTTCACAGCAGTTCTAAAGGCTCCTAAAATACCAGCAGCTCCACCGCAATCTCTTTTCATTCCAGGCATATTATTCTAAAAAATAAATTATTTTGAATTTGTTACAATATACAACTATTTATTCGGCAATTAATTTAAGTTTATTACAATGTACAATATATTATATACTTTTTGTGTATATATATGTGAATCATGTAGTGGATTCATTGTGAATACACGATTAATCCACTACATGATATATATATATATATATATATATATATATATATATATATATATATATATATATATATATATATATATCCGATATATATAAACAATATTGCCATAATTCATAAAACATAAAATGGAAAAGTTCATTTACTACCAATATTAATAAATTCCGTACTCTGCCAGATAAGTATTAAAATTATAGTATACTTTTTTTTCATCTTAAAAACATAATAGACGCATTTAACAACAAAATATCAATTGATAACGTAGTTCTAACTTTACGTTTGAACTTGTTATTTTGCTAAGTGGGACGAATCTTATAATACTGACCCAAAAGTAATAATGTCTTTATTTGGTATTTAACTTTTTATATTCTGCAAAAAAAAAAAAAAAAAAAAAAAAAAAAAAAAAAAAAAAAAAAAAAAAAAAAAAACTTGTGTGCGCATTTCCCTAAATTTTTGAAACGAAATTTTTTTGATTTTTAACTAAGTTTTGAATAAAAACTTATAATTATATAAATATTTAAAAAATAATACATTTTTGTTAAATATATTAACAAATTATTATAATTCACTAATACTTTCACTTTTTTTTCTAAATTTATTGAAATTACATACAACGGTTAGTTTAAAACTGCTGACATTTAAAACTATCCGTAAAATAAAAAATCTAGAAAAATATATTATACGAAGTCCTCATAAAGTTAAAAGGGTTAAAAAAAACGCTCGCCTTTTTTATATTTCTACGTTTAAATTATTATTTTTCAAGATAAACAATTGAGCATCGTAAATTTTAGCTAATTAAAAAACTAAAAACAGTTTGAAAACCCAAAAATGAGAGTTAAGATATGACATCATTGGTATGATTAATTGTATGACCAATTAGTTGATATGGTATGGAATGACCTATAAGTCATAAATTAGAAGTAATGTCAACATATAGAAATCTATAAACAACATCAACGTTTTAGAGTTGTATTTGCATTTTCTGACTTAAAACTTGTAATGTTAGTTTTTATGAATTCAAAACAGGCCGCTCGGGTCGCTATATTCTTTTGAGTGCTTCATTTTTTTAATGACTTGATTGTGAATTAAAGAAAAATATTTAGTACATCTAAATAAAATGTTTTTATTTTTATAAGACAGCATTATACATAGGTTTTATTCAACTCTTGCTGTGAGAATAATTTCATATTAGAATAAGAAATAAAAAAAAATAGGAACGTCCATTTCGTGTTGAAAATAAAGTTAAACAAATCAATATAAAAACTCTCCATGGACTAATAACTTTATAAATAACGAAAGTTTTATTTTACTAGATTTGATCATTATGTAGAAAGAAATTACACATGGTTCGAAAGTTACAGAACTTTGATTGAAGAACTGATCGGCAAAGGTGATAAAAGCAGCTGTGCTGTTTACAAAACAAAAAAAAAAAAAAAAAAAGTGCAGATGTTTATAAAAACATAGAAGTTCTACTAAAGAGAATATAGATTTTATTTCTTTTTAAAACAAAGCTATAAAAGATACAATTGAAGAAATTAAATAATAATATATATATACGTTTGTTATACGTATACATGACTATTAATCAACGACATTCGTTAAAGCTGATACCATAGGTGTAAGATAAACTCACTAAAACACTTACCGCGATCTGGCTTACAAAAACACTTACCACTACCGGTGATATCGACCAAAGATTTGCGGTAAAAAAATTTTTACACATTTGATTTAAATATTTGCATATACCGTAATAGAATGCTATTTTTATTACAGGTATTTATAATAATTATCTTTAATTAATGGATCAGCAAAAACTGGTTTACTTATGTAGCTCGGTTCAATGTACAATCAAATCACTGCTAACTCAAAGACTTTCGTCTAGTTATTTTATAAGAATTAACTCAGTAACTGAATCTGAGTTCGTTAAAGATTCGCTTTCTGTATTACAATCGAACGGTTTTGTTTTCATTTTGAGTAAGAAAACTATTAGGAGCACGTATTGTCTAAACTTGCTCGGAATGGCAGTTTCTTATGACGTTCCTATTATTGCTGTTAGAAAAATGGGATATGCAAAAGATAGAGCAACATTTAGACGCTTCCAAGAAGAAATCGTCGATAGATCAAGACAGAATGTTGTGGAGTTCAATAGTCTTCAAGTAGTAACAACGCTTGAAAAAGTGTTGTGCACGCTATACGATCATTCCTTAGCTTATCACAAAAACGTCGCAGAACACTTTATTGAAAAACTCTGTGAAATGATTGCCAATTTTCCCATATGCCAATATAGAAGAATAAAAGAGAAGGTTTGCAGTCAAAAAATTAACGCCGAGAAATGCAAAAACAATACAAGTTCTTCTAAATTTAAAGTTAAGCAAGAAACACACTCAAACTTAGTTTATAGTAAAAATAAGGAACAATCGAGTCCAAAAAAAAAAATAGAGAGCCCAAAAAAAAAAGAAAAAAATATTGACTTAGTTATAACAAAACAAAATGCAGCCAACAAGCAAGAATGCGTATTGAATAAGAAACAAGTTCGAAGACATTCAAGTCTTCCTCAAATTAAAACAAACTACTTAGTATCTGGACCAGGGGAACATCCTAGCATTTATATATATCCACCATTAGTTTCACAAGACCAATTGAACGTAAAAGGATCTTGCACTTCTGATGAATTGGATATACACATATCAAGAAGATGCTCATCAATTGATCTAAGCGCTATTTAAACCATATTCAAAGCGTTTTGAAAAGCAAACTAAAATTGCTATAGTAACGTTGATTAGCATTTTTTTAATTTTAGAAAAATAATTATTAGGATACTTACTAAAAAAAAAAATTATTTTTATAAAAGAGCAATTATACTTTTAACTTTGTTAATCTCAATAGCACAAACAAATGTTACTATTAAACTCTAATTTCATCAGTTAACCTTATCTTTAATAGAAAGTCCACCAGTATCATAAACAATTCCTTTTCCACACCATGCAATTGTCTTGGTTGCTCCGGCAGGTGTATGACTTAAAATCACAAGAGCAGGTTGGTGAATAGCTGCCTTACCAACCCCATACAAACCTAAGATAATAATTTTTATGAACTGCATAAATTTCTAAATCCTGTTTATGAAAAAAAAAAAATGCTGAGGTGCTCAAAAAACATTTGAATCATTTATTACCTCCAAAACCCTTTTCATCAAGCTCTTTCCCTTGTATAACAGTAGGTAAAATACCAATTTCTTTACCAACTTTATTAACTTCCTAAAAAACAAAAACTCTGTTTTTAAAATTCTTTTGTTATATATATATATATATATATATATATATATATATATATATATATATATATATATATATATATATATATATATATATATATATATATATATATATATATATATATATATATATCAGCCCTTGGAATCAGGATCGGTGTATGGCAATGCCGACCTTACTACTGACCTTGAATTTTTCAAGGTCGGCAAAAAATCGTTGACCTATGGTTTATGGTAAAATCATAAACCATATAGACAAGAATAAAAATTTTAGATAAAAAAGTTAACTTTTTTTTTTCGCATTACATTTTAAAATATACTTTATAATCTTTACTTAAACATAATAAACTAAAATTTTGTTTTTTTACTTCGTACACTTTATATGCTAAACAGGCGCAACGCATCGTTTGCAAAAGAGGAGAAGGGAAAGCAACAATTAACACAAGCACAACGCATCGTTTTTTAAGGTCGAGGAGGGAAGGGAAAAATTAGAAATAAAAGTAAATATTAAATAACTAAGTTTAAAAATAACTAAGAAACTTTTAGAATAGAATAGTAAAAAAGATACTTTGATGAGTTAATGGTTATATTCCATATAAGAAAAGGTGAATATATAAAAACAAAAGTATAAAATCTCTATAAAATTTTTTTAAAGCTAAGTTAAGAATATTACTTTGTAAAATTTTTAAAAACTTGCATACCTCAAGTTTACAATTTATTTTGTTTTTTCTTACATAGAAATATTTTTTAAATGACACCAGTTATATACATGTATCATTTTTAGCTATAGTACTTTATAAATCCAGTTATAAGAAAAACTTTTAATTATGGTTACCAGACTTATCAGAGAAACATATAAATTATGGTATTGCAATCAGACTTTTAATGGCAACGTTTTTTAAACACTTTTAATGGCAACGTTTTTTAGTGCAATGATCAAAAATATAAGGAAAACACTACACGCTATCAAAAGTTCCCTTTAACTCCAAATGTGGTACCCACTGTGCTAGCATTTTAAATAATTATTGATTGCAATAAAAATACTTCAAACTGTACTAGATATCTTCTTGTAAAGCATTAAACATTTATTTGTTATCTTTTTTAGCATCAACTATGTAGTTATAAATGCTCAATTTATAAAATATATGCATTATATAGATGAACCAATCACATCTTTTAAATAAATCTCTAAAAAAAAGTCTAAACACTATTTTAGAGATTTTTTTCAACTACTCTTTTTTCAGATTGACTAGATAGAAACTGTTGAAAACGAATTAAAAATTAAATTAAAAACACAAAAAAAATCATTTTTCATTTGTTGCTGTTTTTTAAGTAATTAATTTTTTCGAGAAACAAGTTTTATCTCGTTTTTTTAATCTTGAGTGCCAAAATACACTTTGGTAAAACATGAAATCTTTTTTTAAATTATGACTTATTTTTTTTTTAAATCTTTAACATTCTCATTAATAAAAACTAACATTCTCTCATACATTGGGTCTTATCTAATCTTTATCTTATTCATCACCTTATCCTATTACCAATAACAAGGCAAAACTATTTACAAAACATATTACCCTTATTTCATCTCTTATATCTGACCGGTCTTAAATACGATCGTGCTCTGTCATTGTCCAAAGAAAAAAGCTTATCTATTTTAATAGATATAAATCTCTCAGAGCTAGAACCAAAACTGCAGTTGCTAAATTTATTTCTCTGTTAAAGTCTTCAACAATTTGTGGTCTGGGTTTGACATTTCTGTCAAAATCAGGTTTTTTTATTGTTACTGAGAAACAAGTTATTACAATCATTTCATTGACTATGACTATTACTATGCTTATTTTACTTCTATTACTAAAGTTCTCTCTTAAATTCATCTGCTGTTTTCTATCACAAGCTATCTATTATCTGTCATTAGCTTTTCTTAAGGTCTGGCATGCTGGTTGTTTCTGCATGTTTTCTTTAAATGTTGCTTTTAAAAAGTTTTTAAAATAACTTAATCATTCTTTTTGGTACTGTGGCATTAAAGTCACCCTTGATAAACAGCACCCTCCTATATTTCATGTAACTTTTAGGGTACCACAAAGTTTCATCCTAGATTTTCTCTGTTGTTTTTTTTTACTTCCATGGTGGTTCTATTTGTTAATGACAAAAATATATTCAAGTATTGACAAAAAGTCATCACTTTTTGATTTCTTAGAACAAACAGTTAACAACAGTATTCCATATAACAATCTTTTATGAATACTGTTGTTTTATTTGGGATATTCTGATGAGGTTGATCTTTTAGACAAGTTCCAAAATAGTAAATGTTGTTGGATTGCCTTGAGCTACATAACTGCAGTCTGCAAATTTCAGGTCAACATTCAGCAATGCCAACGCAAAGGCCGACCTATCTTTGCTTTAAGACGGCATACAACTGCCGACCTGAATATCCTAAAGTGTCGGCATGCAAATTGAAATACATGTAAATAATTTATAATACTCGCTAAATATTAGTTTAAAATTTGTTCATTGTAGTTACTTGCTTTTCAAGTTTGACATGTTTTATTAAAACAAAAATCCATTCATTTTTTTCAATTCATTTTTTCTTTTTTTCTCAATTCATTTTTTCTTTTTTTTTTAAATTTATTCAAGCATTTAAAAGTTAAAAAATATTACTTTTTAAATGCCTGTTGTTCTATTTTTTTTTTTAAATCTAATTTTAATTAATTTTATTAGTTAAAACCGTTCATTTACATTTTTACGTTTTTTTTTTAATATTATTTAAGATCAGAAAG